TGATATGTAGTTTAAAATAGAACAAATAAAAACAGCTGAGACACTCTACTCAGGTCAGAGGCAGCTCTTCGAAGCCCAGTTTGTAGTCTGTAACCTGGGGATGATCTGAATCCTCAGGGACTTGTTGTCCAGATCCAGTGAAATGATAAAAGTGAAAATACTATTACTCTTGAACAATATGACTGTACTGCTTGAGTCCATTTATACATGGATTTCTTTCAATAAATACCTGTACTGTTTTCGATCCATGATTGGGAATCCATGGATATGGAGGGCCAACTGAATGCATTGTTGTATGCCATTTTATATAGGGGACTTGAGCATCCTAGGATTTTGGTATCTGGGGTGTGGGGGTGCAGTCTTGGAACCATTCTCACACGAACACCGAGAGACAACATAAGTTTTTGGGGAGTCAAGAGTTATACGCCAATTTTCAACTGAGTGGGGGGTTGGGGGGGTTGGGGGGCACCTTTAACCCCTGCCTTGTTCAAGGGTCAACAGTACTTTGAAAGTTACTTTGAATGTTACAGTACTTCGAATGTTAAAATTAGTACAGCTACTTTCAGAATTATGGAACCATAAATCTCAGAAGTGGGCAGGTATCATGAAAACACCTAGTGACTCTTTTCTGTCTCCTGATGCAGACTGGTGAGCTCGTGCGGATCTATAAAGGTCACAATCACGCAGTGACTGTGGTGAATATCCTGGGAAAAGTGATGGTGACGGCTTGCCTGGATAAATTTGTTCGTGTCTATGAATTACAGGTAGAATTTAGATCCAGTATTTTGCTGGAATGATTTGAGGAGATTGTCTATTTGGGTTTGATGTTAATTTTTTTAGATAGTAAGGCTGGGGTGGGACCCAGGAATCTCCATTCTTCACAAGCACTCTAGATAATTATGAAGCATCTGATGTGAGGACTACACTTTCAGAAACACTGCTCTGAGATACTGTGGTCTGGCTTATAGGTGTCAAAAATTAAATGGTTTCCAGACAGTAACTGTAGTCTTACCCAGCAATAGGTTTTATTTGCAAATACCAGCTCCTCCCTAGAGGAGGAGGACTTATTATAAAGATTGCCCTTATGTTTCTGTTAAAATGTTTCTGGTGCTTCATATTTCTGTTAAAATGTTACTGGTGCTTCAGCTTGGTGCCTCAGATGTAGTTTTAAACCTGCCAAAGAACTTCAGGGACCATGCTTATCAAATACAAGGTACAAATTGCCTAATTCTCTTTGCACTTTTTTCCTCCACCTAAGTCCCACGATCGACTGCAAGTCTATGGAGGACACAAAGACATGATTATGTGTATGACTATCCATAAAAGTATGGTGAGTAGTATTTGCCTTTGAATGTGTTTACTAAAAATTCTACAAACTAAAGTTACTACTTGTCACTTCCCAGAATGACAGAGGCCTCGTTATTGATTGCCTTTCTATCCGTTGGCATAATAATATCAAGATGTAACCCAGTAATATTGTTGAATATTTCATTTTCTATTAATAGCTAAAATCATTACAATAAAAATCTAATACCACCATTAAGTAGAAGGTACACATTTAAGATGTTTCAAAAAAAAAAATTGAGCGGTGCTTTTTCCAGAGACTTGATGATTCGAACAGAACATTGGAGTAGAGTCAGGAGATTTGGCCAGTGTGGCATAGCTGACCTAAAAGTAGACACTAACGCACTTCACCCTGCTAGTCCTTGGTTCCTTTTATTTTTAAATTATGGGGTTGAACCAGAATGGATATTTTTCAGACTCTGAGCAGTAGAACTCTTTGTTTCAGTGAAATACAGATGCCTAATATCTAATGCCCAATAGAAGCCAGAGCTACACCAGTTAAAGTGTAAGTAGGTGCCTCTGAACCCTCCCATTTTTGCTGTCAGCCGTGGTCCCCAGAGTAGCTCTCGAAGTGTCTAGCATAGCTTCAAAGTGTCTAGACTAGATGATCTAGAAGATACTTTCCCACTGTAGTACTTAGGCTGATTTGGGTTTAGTTTTGTGGTTTTTTTTTATTACAGCTACTACAAGTAGCTTTTGCCTCTTATTTTGAGGATGTTTTGTTCTTTTCTGTGTTGCTTGGGTCTGATATGATAAACCTCTTTCTCCAGATTTACACTGGCTGTTACGATGGCAGTATTCAGGCTGTGAGGCTAAATCTGATGCAGAATTACCGCTGCTGGGTAAGGGGTGAAACTTTTTTTTTTTTTAATTTTAAGAATTTTTTATTGGGGATCTGGGGAATTGGGGAAGGGAAACAGTGTTGGGGAATTGGGGAAGGGGAACAGCCAAGTTGTTGTCCTTCAGTCTTAGTTGTGGAGAGTGCAGCTAGCTCAGCTCCAAGTCCAGTCGCCATCTGGCCACCTGTCAGCGGCTCAGGGCAGCTCAGCTCAAGGTGCCATGTTCAATCTTAGTTGCGGGTGGGCGTAATCCACCATCGGATGCGAGAGTCAAACCGGTAACCTTGTTATTAGGAGCATGTGCTCTCACCAGCTGAGCCGTCCTGCCACCAGTTGGCAGCTTGGCAGCTCAGCGTCAGCTCAGCTCACTGGCCCAGGTGCCGCTCACTGGCCCATGTGGGAATCAAACCGGCGACCTTGTGGCTCAGAGCTCACGCTCTTAACCAACTGAGCTACTCAACTGGCCCAGGAGTGAAACTGCTTGTCACCAGACTTAGGAGTCGCTTAACCCTAGGCTAATTGATCATCAGGGCAGCATTTTTCTGTTTGAGCATCTACCTTATGACTTCCACTGCAGGACAAGGAAGATTATCTTTAAAAACCGTACTTAAAAATTCTTCTATACTTCTTTAATGAAAAGTCTATTTTAAGATTAGATGATGGTGGCAGGATGGCTCAGCTAAAAAAAAAAAAAACATACAAATCAGATTAGATGATGATGTATATTTAAATATCCTCCACTCAGAGGTGGAGGATATTTATTTCCCTGGTGCTTTTTATTTTGCTTTATTGTAAAATCAATACATGCTTACAAAAATATCAATAGTGCATAAGTATATGAAATAAAAAGTGGAAGTGCTTATTTTCATGTCCTGCCCAATATGCTATAACCCATTCCTCAGGGATTACACATATTAATAGTTTGGTTTGTGTCCTCGTTGGTTTTTGGTAAATAGGCAAATAAAAATTTGTATTCTTGAGGTTTTAAACCTCATTTCTCTAGGCTAAATGGCATGGTTTTTATTTTCGGGTGGGTGCTGGTGATTAACCCTCAAAACTTTCACACCTATTCCTTATAAGCATTAATTGGTTTCATGAGTTCTAATATTAGTGGTGACCAAAGAAAAGTTTATGGCACTGAATATTTCCCCCTAAACCCTACCCTTCTTTTCAGAATTGATGGAATGAACGCGACACTCTATTTTTAGATTTGATTTTAGGCTTGTGCATAGCTTAATCACTTTTCAGCGTTTTATATATTATGTTTGCTTTTTAGTCTTCTCATTGAAGGCAAGCAAAATCTAGTGCAACAGGATCCAGAATAAACAAATAGTTAATTTACCTAGAGGAATGGGGAAAATACTGTCTGGCTTAAAAACTGGAGTACTGACAGAGGAAGAATTCAAATTTGCATTACATTTTAGAAATGAACACGTTGAATTAGAATCATAAGGTTTAGGGCCGGCTGAGTGGCACGGTGGTTAAGAGCTGGCTTGGGATGCCTGAGNCATTAAATGATGTCATGAGAGATGACATAGAACCAGAAGTCAGAAGAATGTCAGAATAACAGAAAGGTGGAGAATGAGAGACTCTTATAGAAATTGTCTAAGAAAGTAGTTCTCAATGGAGAATTTTGGAAACAACCATGACAAATAGATTGTATAAATTTTGGATGATAAAAAATAGTGAAATTGTGCCTGGGTCTGTGGCATGGAAATAGAGGATGAAACAAAGGTTGACCATTATCATTAACTTAAGGGAAGTGAGAGAGGGCATAGAAAGAGAACCGAGTTCTAATTATGATCAGGATAGTGTGGGTTGAAGATAGAAATGAGTTTATAAGGTAAAAGTTTGCCACCACTGGAATGGGGGAGAAGGGAGTCATGAATACAAAGAGATTTGGAATGAGAATGGAAGAGGTTAGGAAGTTAAAGATTGGAAGTGGATATGAGACATTTACAGGTAATAGAATTGAGATTTTTGTATCAAGGTAGTGGTTTAGGTTAGTTGATTTTGAGGTTTATCAGCTAAGTTGTTTTAATTTCATATAATGGTGGCTTATTTTTCAGAATAACAAGCGACTGGAAATCTTTGAATGCCATGGCCCTCGGGCCGTTAGCTGTCTTGCCACAGCTCAGGAAGGTGCTCGAAAGCTGCTGGTTGTGGGGTCTTACGACTGTACCATTAGTGTACGTGATGCACGGAATGGACTCCTCCTCAGAACCCTGGAGGGGCACAGCAAAACTATTCTTTGCATGAAGGCAAGTATAGTGCAAGAGAGCAGGAGCTAGTTGTCTGGCACAAATAGAATTGTTTGAATGACATTCCCTGTGTTTTTTTCATGCCTTATTTTGAACACAGTCATCTTGAAAAGAGTAAGGAGGTTACAATCCTTTTCTGTAGGCCTGGGTCACCAAGGAATGTCCTCTTTTTTAATATGTTAACTTAGAAACAGTTAAAGTGTATTTTACTGTAGATACACTCTCATGCCCTCCTAGTCTACTTCATAATCATTCTGAAGAGGTAACAAACCTAATAATACTTGGTCAATTTATCAGAGTACCTGGTTGTAGGACATACGTTTCAGTTCAGAAAATTTATCTGAGAAACTTACTGTTTTATACCTAGTTCGTGCTCCTCTCAAAATAGGTTGGTAATTAGAATTCGCCAATGTGAGTTACAAGTTACAGAGGAAACTCAGAACCCTATACCAAACCTGACTCATTGAATTTTTTTCTTTAAGGTGGTGAATGACCTTGTGTTCAGTGGCTCCAGCGATCAGTCAGTCCACGCCCACAACATTCATGTAAGCCCTGTTGACTTAGAGTAAAGAAAGCTTTAATGGAATTGTGGTTAAAGCTTGAAGGATTGCTCAGACCTCTTACAATTTAAATTAAGCCCCCTTTCCACTGAGAGGCTTAATAATAATCCCTGTGCATCAGCTCTTGGATAATATTGAGCACCCTAGAAATTCTGACCTCATCAAAATTTTTAATAGGGGGCAGACTCAAAGTTTATGTAAGGTTTAGTTTGAATGCCTCATTTAAACTTGAGATAAATTGAGCATCTGAGGCTCTAAAAAAGTGGATGTGATATGTAGTTTAAAATAGAACAAATAAAAACAGCTGAGACACTCTACTCAGGTCAGAGGCAGCTCTTCGAAGCCCAGTTTGTAGTCTGTAACCTGGGGATGATCTGAATCCTCAGGGACTTGTTGTCCAGATCCAGTGAAATGATAAAAGTGAAAATACTATTACTCTTGAACAATATGACTGTACTGCTTGAGTCCATTTATACATGGATTTCTTTCAATAAATACCTGTACTGTTTTCGATCCATGATTGGGAATCCATGGATATGGAGGGCCAACTGAATGCATTGTTGTATGCCATTTTATATAGGGGACTTGAGCATCCTAGGATTTTGGTATCTGGGGTGTGGGGGTGCAGTCTTGGAACCATTCTCACACGAACACCGAGAGACAACATAAGTTTTTGGGGAGTCAAGAGTTATACGCCAATTTTCAACTGAGTGGGGGGTTGGGGGGGTTGGGGGGCACCTTTAACCCCTGCCTTGTTCAAGGGTCAACAGTACTTTGAAAGTTACTTTGAATGTTACAGTACTTCGAATGTTAAAATTAGTACAGCTACTTTCAGAATTATGGAACCATAAATCTCAGAAGTGGGCAGGTATCATGGAAACACCTAGTGACTCTTTTCTGTCTCCTGATGCAGACTGGTGAGCTCGTGCGGATCTATAAAGGTCACAATCACGCAGTGACTGTGGTGAATATCCTGGGAAAAGTGATGGTGACGGCTTGCCTGGATAAATTTGTTCGTGTCTATGAATTACAGGTAGAATTTAGATCCAGTATTTTGCTGGAATGATTTGAGGAGATTGTCTATTTGGGTTTGATGTTAATTTTTTTAGATAGTAAGGCTGGGGTGGGACCCAGGAATCTCCATTCTTCACAAGCACTCTAGATAATTATGAAGCATCTGATGTGAGGACTACACTTTCAGAAACACTGCTCTGAGATACTGTGGTCTGGCTTATAGGTGTCAAAATTTAAATGGTTTCCAGACAGTAACTGTAGTCTTACCCAGCAATAGGTTTTATTTGCAAATACCAGCTCCTCCCTAGAGGAGGAGGACTTATTATAAAGATTGCCCTTATGTTTCTGTTAAAATGTTTCTGGTGCTTCATATTTCTGTTAAAATGTTACTGGTGCTTCAGCTTGGTGCCTCAGATGTAGTTTTAAACCTGCCAAAGAACTTCAGGGACCATGCTTATCAAATACAAGGTACAAATTGCCTAATTCTCTTTGCACTTTTTTCCTCCACCTAAGTCCCACGATCGACTGCAAGTCTATGGAGGACACAAAGACATGATTATGTGTATGACTATCCATAAAAGCATGGTGAGTAGTATTTGCCTTTGAATGTGTTTACTAAAAATTCTACAAACTAAAGTTACTACTTGTCACTTCCCAGAATGACAGAGGCCTCGTTATTGATTGCCTTTCTATCCGTTGGCATAATAATATCAAGATGTAACCCAGTAATATTGTTGAATATTTCATTTTCTATTAATAGCTAAAATCATTACAATAAAAATCTAATACCACCATTAAGTAGAAGGTACACATTTAAGATGTTTCAAAAAAAAAAATTGAGCGGTGCTTTTTCCAGAGACTTGATGATTCGAACAGAACATTGGAGTAGAGTCAGGAGATTTGGCCAGTGTGGCATAGCTGACCTAAAAGTAGACACTAACGCACTTCACCCTGCTAGTCCTTGGTTCCTTTTATTTTTAAATTATGGGGTTGAACCAGAATGGATATTTTTCAGACTCTGAGCAGTAGAACTCTTTGTTTCAGTGAAATACAGATGCCTAATATCTAATGCCCAATAGAAGCCAGAGCTACACCAGTTAAAGTGTAAGTAGGTGCCTCTGAACCCTCCCATTTTTGCTGTCAGCCGTGGTCCCCAGAGTAGCTCTCGAAGTGTCTAGCATAGCTTCAAAGTGTCTAGACTAGATGATCTAGAAGATACTTTCCCACTGTAGTACTTAGGCTGATTTGGGTTTAGTTTTGTGG